CCATCGCAAGCAATCAAACAAAACAAGCAGGAACGAAAGGTACGTATATGTTTGTAGGAATATGAAAAAAAGTTACTCACGCACTGCACAAAATTCGCAAAATAAATATTAGAGACGTTAATTACTGCCGTAGACGCCGAAACACCAACGAGCCGTAAATTAAATGCGATTAAAAAATGTACTAAACCAAAAATTATTTTCGTTCGTAACAACTTCACCCTTTCAAGGCAAGTTTCGAATATAAACTGAAGCTTTATATTTAATGAATAAACACCTCAGGAACCTCCGCCTATGATTTTACGAGCTTTACGACCGTTTTATGACTTGGGCCCTCATTTTGTGCTATCGACAAATTATGAACGGACTATAGTTGTTCTTTCGGAAGGGCTTTTTCATCCAATTAATTTTTCTTCAAGGACAAAACACAAGCACTACAGGAAAATCCTCAAGGTGCTCTAAGAGCGGTGCCTGCGCGAAAGTGCAGATTCACGTTAGATCTGAATTGGTGACGATTAACTTTATTTGGAAAAACGTTTTCAGAAAGTTCATTCCACATAAATGCAATTCCCAAATGAAAGAGTTCTCAAACAGTGAAATTTGAGGTGAACTGAGTTGAACCTAAATACGATGAGCAGCCACAGTCCGTCGCGTATTTCTGATGTGTACCGCTCTTGGTGGAATCAAATTTGCCAAGTCACTTGAATACCTCCCGTGAAAGTATCTGTAAATGAGAGACAAATCTCCAACCTTTCTTTGATGTTCCGGGCTATCAAGGTTGCAAGTGATATTCGCGTCTCCAATTAGGCGGATGGTTCTTTTCTGGATGAAATCCAGCAGCTTCAAAGTATTCTGAAGGACGGAGCTCCATACATGAGAACAATACCCCAAAGACGGTCTAATCTGTGCTTTATAAAGCATCAAAATTTTCTGTTTCTTCAGCGTTCTTCACTTCTTCCAGCGACGTGATTGTGCCAAGACATATATTGGTGTCCATTTTAACCCCCAACAAACTGATCGAAGCAGAAAGCTGAATTGTCTGTCCTGACATTATATCTGATTCTGAGACATTTATCTGTTTGGTGAAAACCGATGCCTGGGTTTTCGTGGCACTGAATTGAACCTGCTTACTTTCACCCTAATTCGAAATCACCTCCACCTGATAGTAACTTCTATGCATTATCTACAAATCGTTGTAGATATTAATCTGGAACTGGACAGTGGGTATTTCAATAGAAGCGTTACTCGAAAACATCTAATACCATCAAACAACTTAATTGCTTTCTTCCTTAAATTGGAATTTTTAATGTTTAAGAAGTGCCAACAAGCTTTTTTCCCAAATACTAATTTTTCTGAAAAATGTATCCCTTTCACAACGACAACTCAAAATTCTATTCTAATTTTCAATAATATTTTTTTTTCGTAACTGTTTTTCATTTGAATGATTCCATTTTTCGGTATCTAAGATTTATAGAGTGTTCCCATGTTCCAATGCTTTTTTATAACCAGTTATTACAATGAAAATAAAATTATTTTCTGGGAGCTCAATACTATGGGAAACTGAAACTTACCACTGTACGCTGCGAAATATTGGAAAGAAGCCTTGCCTTGCTGGATCTTCAGACTGGAACCTGTAGAGATCTTCATTATAATATATTTTCTAAATGCCCGGAAAAATAATACCTATAACAATAAAAAATGAAACAAAAACAGAATCGCGTCTTTCGCCGATCGATCTTTTCACATCACGATATCACTAGACTTAGTTTTGAGAGTTCGCACAGTTAATTTTCGATTAATTTATTCTAATTGAAGTACACATTGCGTGCCTTTGTGGTTATTTGAATGAACTGCCAACATGTGTATGACCGCTTAAATACTGTTCGCAGGCAAAACAACGAATCGACTGGCAAACATAGCTTATTCTTGGCGTTACCGCGAAATTTGCCATTCCACTGATATGCCAAAGTGTATGTAATTCGCTTCTATTTACGATGGGATTCGCCATCACCAACCAATAGTGTGCTGTTGCCGATTTTTAAGTGAATATTTGCGATAGATTACACCATTTTGAGGAAAATATGTTTTTTCTGGAAGATTTTCAAAGGGATGTCTAGACTTAACACGTGTGAAAGTAGTTTTTTCTTGTGGAGCAAAGTTAGCCTGTTTCTGCACTTACTTTTTTTAATATCAAGTACATATGTATCATCAATAATCCAAATTAGTTAACTAACAACTAAACTCAATTCAAACTTAGATGTTATGCGAATAACAAGCACGTCAAACTAGAGGTATACTCACAGATCACATGCTAATTTTTACAACATTCTACGATGTGTTTCAGTCAATCAACGTGATTTGATCACCTTGAACTTTTGATATTAGAATTCCACACGAGGGATAGTTTCACATTGTTTCCTAAAAAATGCGAAAACAATCGCCCTCTATCAAAAATTAAATTTCTTTGAAGGATATTCAAAATTCAACTCGAGCCAATTTGGTTTTCAAAAATCATCATGCACCTAACATAGATGCTCTCAAAAATGGTTGATACGATCGTTGATAATTTTGAAAAAGTTGAACACACAGCACTCGTTCTGTGTGATCTGGTCAAAGGGGAGTCTCAAAATCCCTTTTTTGAATCATATTCAACAAATAGAAAGCAATGTGTTATATTGAACTCGAATGACACATCAAACCCAAAAATGATTGAACTTGGGATTCCACAAGAGTCCATCCTAGGCCCCTTCTTGTTCATAATATATGTAAACGATCTTACATGGCTCCCTACGGCTAAATCGCCTTTGCTAATGTTACAACTTACAGCTCAGATCAAAGCTGAAACACATTTCTTATATTCCTTCTCATAAATTCATTTGTAATGATGTAGAATGATCCACTGAATTACCCGATATGACGCCCTTAAATTTTTTGTAGGGATTCATGGAATCTAAAGTGTACCTCACACAACCACATTATACTCCGGAACTCATGGTTAGAACGATATTACACCAAAAACATTTCATTATGTTATCATTGAATTTGCAAAATAACTTCATTATTGAAAGAAAGTGAATGGTAAATATTGGAATGAACTCTGCGGGTCGGAACAAGCTGTCTGATGATGATTCTGGATTTTGGTTGGAAATTGAACTGGTAACCAGACCTTTATACAATTTGTTGATCTGAGATATATTTGTTTCACCATATTTTTTACGTGAAACATGTAGTAAACATGTGTACGTAAAACCGATTGCTGGCGTGACGACGGGTCGCTATGCGCCACACCGAGCTCGGATACCTGTAGTGTATACAGTTGTGTTTACAACAGTATAGAATAGAATAGAATAGAATAGAATAGAATAGAATATTTATTTACCAATATTTGATACAATAGTGTATATTTGGCACGTCACTTAAATATCACACACAAATAAATATCACAAATGTCACAAATAAATGTAGAGTCATGATAGAATAGAATAGAATAGAATAGAATAGAATAGAATAGAATAGAATAGAATAGAATAGAATAGAATAGAATAGAATAGAATAGAATAGAATAGAATAGAATAGAATAGAATAGAATAGAATAGAATAGAATAGAATAGAATAGAATAGAATAGAATAGAATAGAATAGAATAGAATAGAATAGAATAGAATAGAATAGAATAGAATAGAATAGAATAGAATAGAATAGAATAGAATAGAATAGAATAGAATAGAATAGAATAGAATAGAATAGAATAGAATAGAATAGAATAGAATAGAATAGAATAGAATAGAATAGAANTTATTGATGTTTCACATCTGCCAGGCGTCCTGTGACGACTCACAATTTTTTCAGCATCAAGATATGATTTGAAAAAATTAGCCGTTGTTTCATTTTTGATAGTAAACGACATACAATTTACCGCTAAATTCAACAAATGTCTGAAAGAAAATATAAAATTGACTCATAAATCATGTAAAAATTCCGCGTCCTATTGTTCGCGGTCGTTGCTAAATTAATTTCAGTTGTTTTCGATCTAAAAATAGTAGATATAATCGGGTGTCATTTGATAACAGTCAATATTTATTCGAATACCCCACCGGTAGCAACATCTCTTTCAACCAAATTCAAATATTTATTTTGTAAAAAATAGTTCATGTCACGATGATGATGCAACTACTGACTGAATTAATGTCAAAAAAAGTTAGTCTGGTTTTCATCTTCAAATAACTTACAATTATTATCATAGCAATAATTGTTCGTCGACATTTTTGTGAAACGCAACCCAAAGGGAAATTTAAATTCGATTCATTTTTTGCACTAAATTGGACGCCTGGAGCGACTATGTAACCGATAAGGAAGAATTAGATTTATTCATATTTCATTGCATGTCATGACATGAAAAGTGGTTTATTCATTTACAAACGTAGCACTTGGAAAAACAAAAAAACATCATAAATTTCTTACATACAATTTTTTTTATATCCAAGAGAGGTAGATAACAATTGAACAATATGTCAGTTAAAAATACAATTGGAAGATCGCCTGATTTTAATAAAAAAAATGTTTAAGGTGTCAGGAATTGTTGTGGAGCGTGCGATAGCCGGTCGGGTCGACGTGGGTGCTTTGTTCATTCACTCAAATCGACCTCCGTGTTGGTCGTTGGTTTAAGCCCCAGGCTGAACGATCGATTTTCACTTGCTATCGTCCAACCCGTGTTAGGAATCACACGTTAAAAGGTAAGTTCTCGTTAGTCGCACAAGTTTCGACTTTTGAGAGTTGTTAGGTAGTAAGGTTGGACAGCTGGTTAACGGAAAAACAGATTTTAAAACAGATGTACGTTACACTCCTGATATTTGAATTGTTAAATGTTTCTAGTAAAATATCTAGTTGATGATTGATATGTTGACAAAGCCACTACAAAACGATTTTAAAATCTGTTCTTGATTCATCACATATATTTGGGTTTCACGGAATATCATGTAAATTCAGTATGGTTCATATTCCTTCCGGCTATAAAACACTTCTGGTGGAAATACCGCTGCGTTTGGCTCACCTCCAAAGTTCTAAATCTGTTTGTTCAACTAAACTTTTCTTATAAGTTGATGTTGTTGTACCTTGAAACAAAAAAACGCCAACATTACTGTCAGTTAAACCGAGTTCATTGGTGCTATTGAAATTAGTTGAGATTGGGGAAGTAACTGGTTATTAATCAAATTGAAAAGAAATCATTATAAGGAGAAATCAATTTTTGGGGTGAGAAAGATTTCATCCTTCCTTTGGAAGTTTTTAGTTCGATTCTCTTGTGAGGTATAATCATGGCAATCAGAATTAACGGTATAAGATATGTTTGAATGTATACATTTATGCTTTGTCAAGAGAATGAAAATTATTTTCTTTGTTCTGAACAGCAGATTTCGGGGTGTTGTAAAGTTCAGTTGTTGGTTTTACGAATAACAAGTTGTAAAGACATAATAATGCTTCTTAGGAGCCCTCAACAGATTTGACAATCTGTTACATTGACTTTTTATTTACTTACAGATGGGAATTGAAAAATAACCGATNATTGCTTAAGCTTATGTTCGTATTTTACTAGTTAAACGAAATTTCTTTATTATCTACTATGACTTGCGATTTTACTTATATTAATAAGTTATATGAATTGTCCTATTGCTCAAGCTTTGTCAACAAGTTGCCCTTAAGACGATAAAGCATATTTATTATTATTATTATTACAAAATTCATAAATTAACATATCTACCACAGGAACGAGAATTATAAGATCCTCGAAATAATGTGCCATATGGATCTTTTTTTTTATTTGAAGATTAGGGCATCAACCACTAGGGTTATTAGCGCTATGTTACATTTTACATTACATAATTATTGTATTCAAATTAAATGATACATATTGAAACTTGTCAAGAATGACATTTTAATATTTGCAATTCTGAAATTAACATTTACCGCTCTTGAGAATTGAAACGCTGAGGCTAAAAATATATCTTGAAACTTGCTACTGAAAATAAAATAAATGTCGAATATATGATATCTAATAATATTAATAGAGACCACTTTTTCGAATTGACATCTTCATTCAATTGTTTTTAATGTTTTCAATCTATAGTCCGTTCATAATTTGTTGATAGCTCACTGCAAGTTTGACCCTCATTAGAGAACTGAAATACAGAGAGGACAGCTAATATGATATAATAACAAAAATCAAACTAAAACTGGCAGTTTAAGATGTTTTCGACTAACCCACCTTGTATCTGAAGAAATACAATACAGCTATAAAACTTTTAATCCGATTATGTAGGTATTTTGAGTGGAAATGAGTGACCAGTGTCGTAGAGTATATGATTAAAACATTAGTTACTTTAAATAAATAAATATATTAATATTCTTAAACTGTAGGTACTGTAAACTGTATTTTTATTTAAAAAAAATTTCTTTATTTTATTCAAAAATAATAAGTTACTTGCAATTTGTAAAAGATACATTTATTTAATTAATACCTATTTTTAAATGATATAAACTACGATTNACGCACTGCACAAAATTCGCAAAATAAATATTAGAGACGTTAATTACTGCCGTAGACGCCGAAACACCAACGAGCCGTAAATTAAATGCGATTAAAAAATGTACTAAACCAAAAATTATTTTCGTTCGTAACAACTTCACCCTTTCAAGGCAAGTTTCGAATATAAACTGAAGCTTTATATTTAATGAATAAACACCTCAGGAACCTCCGCCTATGATTTTACGAGTTTTACGACCGTATTATGACTTGGGCCCTCATTTTGTGCTATCGACAAATTATGAACGGACTGTAGAACATTTTGTGTTGAAAGTTATAAAAACTTAGTGGTTTAAATTTTCCCACTTAAGGATTGAAGTTTGACCTTTCAGTTTTTTTGTTTATTAATTAAAATATTTCATACAATGTTTATCAAAACAATTTTTTTTATATCACAGAACGTCTCTTTTCCAGTTGAATACTCAGTTGCCGAAATATTTTTTGCTAAATATCTCACGAAATCATTATTAACATTCCACATTGCTGAAAATTCATTTCACTCGAAATTTGCTTGTAAAAATATCGCGTACTGTATACAATTTGTCACGTAATAAAAATATATAACGATTGAGCTTAAAATTTAGTTACTTGGATGCCCCTCTCTTTGCCCAACTTTATTTGTATGTCTTCCAGCCTCATCCCCTTGGTTTCCGGAACATAGAATATGACGAAGAACAAACTCAAAAACGTGAGTGTTCCGAATACCATGAAGGGCACGTACATTCCGAAGGCCTCCTTTGTCAAATAAAAAATTTTGGCGGAAAGCATGGCCATCAAGCTGTAGTAGATGGTGCCGAAGCAAAGCGCCAATGGTTTTACCCTCGGGGAGAAGACCTCCCCCATCATAAGAAGTGGTATGTTCCTCACCCCGATACTCACGAAGATGATGTTCGCGAAGAGTATCAATAAGGGAGCGTAATTGAAAGGGTCAGTGTCGATCTCAGTGCTAGCTTTTAGAAACTCGTAAACGCCCATGAGAAAAAGGGTTGAACAAGACCCTATGATGGAGACAATCAGGAGTGGCTTGCGCCCGAAATAGTCTACGACGAAAATGGCTACGAACGCCACGCTCAGCTGCAAACTAAAGTACAGAATGGTCGTGACGTTCGCAGGAAGAAAATCTTCTTCATCCTCGAAGATCGTCTTGCAATAGAACGTAATGGCAGTGGTCCCGCAGAACTGCTGGATGGACCTCAAACCGTATGCCACGAAGGCGCATCTCCTGTTGACCCTATCCAGGAAGAAGTAGTTGATGAGGCCCTTGTCCTTCGACTCCTCGATGACGTTCTTGGTGAGCGTCTCCATCTCTTTGACTGCTTCTTCCTCTCCTCGCAGCATCTCCAGAGTGGCCCTGGCCTCCCCGATGCGGTTGTGCTGCAACAAGAAGGAGGGGCTCTCCGGCATCCAGACGAAGGTTACGAAGAGGAGCAAGGGGAAGATGCAGGCGACGAACGCGGCCGTGTCGATTGCTAAGAAGTTGCCCAAGATGTTGACGATGAGGATGCCCAAGACGACGAAGACCGGACAGAGGGAGGCCAACATACCTGCGAAAGAAAAATCAGTTTCTAACATTTGATGTGAAGATATATTTAACTAACACTGCAGCCAAAAAAATGTAGTAGGGGAAAGATACAGGTATACAAGGTTAATTATGATTGAAATACTGAAAATAATGGAATATACTGTGGTAAGTAACGCATGTATACGTTTATTTTCAGTTGAAATAATAGTATATATACCAGGTGTGAGACATCCTCTTAT